CCCGCTCGCCCGCCGAAGTACTGAGGCGGGGTGTGGGCCGGCCGCCGCGCCGCCATCTCACCCTGCCGACGCGGCTGAGTGTTCCCCGTCATCGTCCCGTCCCCCCGCCGTCGCCAGGTACGTGGGCGATCCGGACTCGGTGCCGCTGCCGCCGCTCGAGTACGACACGGTGTTCGCGCTGCACGCCAAGTTCTGCGCGCTGGTGCTGGACGCCGTCGACCTGGAGGCGTTCGACCGAGGCGCCGGCACTCCGCGCGCGCTGGTCAAGCGCGTCTCCGACGTCATCTGGTTCTCGTTGGCGCGCAGCTACCACAAGGACAAGCCGCACATCCAGAGCATCTACAGCTTCCTCACTGGTGAGGGGGCCGCGGCAGGCGGTGGAGGCGCGCCAGGCCCATGAGTCTGAGCCAGCTGTCGGTCCTTGCGTGAGGCCCGTCAACAGCCGTTCCCCATGACCTGCGGGGCGCGTGCCTGCGTCATGTCAGCAGCCTGTGCGGAGGAAGCCACGTTGTTTGCGCGCGTCTGGTCGCTCGTCGTCCGATTTGCGCGCGTGTGACCAGCAGCCCTCCGAGCCATGTTGGCAGCCAGGCAGCTGCGATCTGCGCTGCCTGTGCCGGAGGCGGACTGGCCTGTGCTGGCCTTGCCAGCGCCCGTCTCGTCCGTGTTGGCGGGTGGTCTGTCGGGACTGTGTGCACCCAGCTGTTCACCGTGCCGTCCGTGGTGGCCCGACAGGTAACCGCCTGGACTGCCTGGGCGTGGCCGTGGCCGTGGTGGCCGCCTGCCAGCTGCTCGGTCTGGACGACGTGCAGCTGGCGCTCTCCGAGGACCACGCCTGGGTCGTGTTCGGCCCGGACGGCTCCGAGACGGCAGAGGTCACATGGCACGGTCAGTCCAGAGGTCACCTGGTGGCGTCAGTCCAGAGATCCCCTGGCAGGGTCAGTCCCGAGGCCACCCAGCGGGGTCAGTCCAGAGGTCACCTGGCGGCGTCAGTCCAGAGATCACCTCGAGCGTTCAGTCTCGAGGTCACTTATAGCGATCAGTCCCGAGGTCACCTAGAGCGGCCAGTCTAGAGGTCACCTAGAGCGATCAGTCTCGAGGTCACCTAGAGCGATCAGTCTCGAGGTCACCTGGAGCGGTCAGTCCCGAGGTCACCTGGCAAGGTCAATTATAATGTCACCTGGAGGGGTCGGTCGGCCGTCCCGCGGCACAGATGGGCCCGGCACGGCGTCCGCGAGGCTAACCGCTGGGATGTCTCCGATTACAAGCCTGAGCGAGGTTCGACAGAGGTCAGCTGAGGATGCTCAGGATCGCATCGTTGCTGGTCATGTCCATAATTGTCATTCAGGTATGGTCAAAGGATGTGTGTCCAGGATGGATAGGTTCTGTCTCTAACGTTGTGATGAGTGGTGGTGCAGCTGAGGATGTTATTGGAGTTGTGTTTAGTGATCGGATCCTGCGCTATCAGCTGGGGGGCGCAAGGGCGGTGTCTCATGTGTCAATCGTAGGCTGGCCAACTGGCGAGCGGATGGGTGCATCCAGAAGCCTGTCCCGAGCACGCCCGATGTGACCGGCTCTGCTGCGGCCGGCGCCTGTCACCGCTGACAGCCGTCCGTCGTCGGCAGGCAAGGGGTAACGAGGACAAGCGGTGGCCAGCCGATCAGCGCCTCCCTCCGGCCTCGCAGCTGGCTCTACTACCTGAACGGCAGCGCGGGTCGTCTGCACCGAGCACACATGCAGGTAACAGGCCTTGCAAGCGGACGCGGCCGGCGCTGTGCGAGGCGTCGGTGCAGGGGGGGCAGCAGCACCGGTCCCCGGCCCATTCCAGCTGGTGTCTGAGCTGCCGGCCCACGCTCGCGGACGTGTGGCTTGGAACAGATGCCTTGTAGTAACGAACCCGCCACGTGGTTGAGCCCGTCCTCATAAATCGGAAGGTGCAGCGGCTTTCAGTTGCGGGAGATGTGGTTAGTTCCCTAGATCATGCAGTTGCCAGATGATTAAAGGTTTTTGCGTATGCTTCCGACGTCGAGGGAAACCCGGAGCCGGTTTTCACCGGTGGCACCTTCCATTGTCAGTAACGCGTGAACCAGCGCGAGGGTTCATTGCGCGGACAACTAAGGTATTCTGCAGACACAAGGGGCACTTGGAGACATGTTGGATACTGCTGGTATGTAACCCAGACGCTGGACGTCTCAAACACTGCAGACAGATACCGAACACTTCAGACGCCGCGGACACCTTGTACAATGTGTCAACGGTGACCTGATCCTGTCGGTCAGCACTGAATGTTGTGGGTTCCGTGGGTCGTCCACCAGGTGGCAGCCGTGGTGACGTCCATCAGTCCCAGTATCAGCGGCGCGGCTGACTCGATGGAGCTCAGCCTGCTGCAGCAGCGCCTGCTCTGGCTGCTGTACGACCGCGGCGCCATCGCCGCCTACCCATGGCCATAGGTAAGGTAGTGACGGTGTGGCCATCACCAGCATACACCATGACCATAGGCCCTACCATCTTCAACTAGTATCAAGTCTCGCCCGTGGCGTTGGCATGGAAGGCGTATTACATCAGCTGGCTGTGTGAGCTGTCGCTGGTCTCCAGGGGGTCAGGGGTCTGACTCAGGGGTCAGGGACCAGACCGCGGTCTTACTGTGACCGCAGTCTGACGTCTGGCCCGGGACCTAGCCTGCCAGAACCGGAGGGGGTACATAACGCTGCGCTGACGGCTCTGATGACTGCTGACGTTGTGACGACCCCCGACCTGCCCCGTCAGGTAACCTGGCTGAGCTGGAGGAAGCAAGCCCGACGCCAGACCGACCGAAGCCGCTGGAGCTGCTGCACGAGGCCGTCACCGTGGCCAGGGTCAGTAGCTGGCTAGCCTCGCCTCTCTCCAGGACACGCCGCCAGTCACCCTGGCTCCCTCGCGAGCGTTGACTCAGGCCGTCCTTGCGACCCTAGGCTGCCTGGGCCGGCTAATGGCGCGTGTTGTCGCGGTGTGTCGCCCCCTTCACTGACGTGCTGGTCCCCTGTCTCGGCTGTAGACGCGCCGGCGGAACGACCAACAGACAGGATATCCCCGTGTCGGACGCAAGTTTATGTTTGGACATGCGCACCATTGTTACGCTGCCATGGCTGGTTGATTATATGCAAGTCCCACTGCCAAACGAAGTAGTTCGTGGTCAGCTGCAAACCGGGCGAAGGACAGAGCCCGGCGTGGTGAAGGTCGGGCCTGTCTGGCCCTGTTTCGGTGTGACCGTCGAATCGCATGCCGCTGACGGCGTCTGGCCAGTGCCTCCGTCTTCGCCGCCGCGGGCGGGCGCCTGTCTGCACCGTCCGTCCGCCGACCCCCGAGCCGTCCGTGACCGCCACCTCGCGCCGCGCAGGAGCGCTACGGCAACCGGCACGTGTACCCGTACACCACGCTCGGCGACTACTACTACAAGGGCAAGCAGTACGAGAAGGCGCTGGAGACCTGGGCCAACGCCTCCGAGGCGCTCAAACAGTGAGGCGGCGCCGCGGCGCCCTGCCGGCCGCCCCCGGGCCGCGCCTGCGCTGGAGGGCGGGGCTCGCTCCGAACGGCGCTCGCTTATTGCAGTGACGACGATGGGTTATTCTGAGCTGGCTTAAATGGATTGAGCTCGCGGAAACCTCGCTTGTGAGCTGCACACAAATACAATATGTTTGTTTCGTTTGGATATGGATGCTGTGGTACATTCGTATACGCTTTGGTGATATGTGTGGTTTGGTGTTCAATTTGGCCGCCACTGCGGACGAACTATTGATTACATTTCATTTTCTGCATATCCGATTGTGCTTCTTTCAGTTACGACTACTCGCGGGATGATGAAGAAGTTTACAAGGAGCTGATGGAGATCACCATTGATAAGATCCCGCACATCATCAAGGTCGGTCTCTGATTTAGCTTCCTTTGTCTCATGACTCGGTCAGGTCGACAGGCAAGTTCTCACCATGCTTTTTCGCGCCGCCTGCCATGTTTTTCCGTAATGTGCTCTGATGTTTATGAACAGGTGCCCCTCCCCTCTCCCTTGTTCGCCGCGTTGCAAAAGTGGAAATTGTCGTCACTTTCCTCGACTAGGAGGTAGTCTTCTATTCCTCTGCTCGGCTGACTGTCTGGACCCGTCCTGTCCTGTCCTGTCCTGTCCTGTCCTGTCCTGTCCTGTCCTGTCCTGGCCTGGCCTGGCCTGGCCTGGCCTGCCCTGCCCTGTCCTGCCCTGCCCTGCCCTTCCCTGCACTTTTCTGTTCCATCCTGTCCTGTCCTGTCCTGTCCTGTCCTGTCCTGTCCTGTCCTGTCCTGTCCTGTCCTGTCCTGTCCTGTCCTGTCTTGTCTTGTCTTGTCCGTTCGGTCCCCTTCTGTCCTGTCCCCTTTTATGTCATCCCGTTCTGTCCTGTCCCGTTCTGTCCCGTTATATTCTGTCCAGTGTCGTCCTGTCCCGTTGTGTGCCGTTCCGTTCCGTCCGTCATGTTCTGTTCCGTGTTGTCCTGATCTGTCCTATCCCGTTTTGACCTGTTCCGCCCTGTCCCGTTCTGTCCCGTCCAGTCTCGGTCTGTCCCGTTCTGTCCTGTTCTGTCCTGTACTGTTCCGTACTGTCCCGTTCTGTTCTGTCCCGTGCTGTCAGGTGCGTTACAGGAGTCATTAAGCAGAAGCAGAGGTTGAGCTCCCCTCCGACACGGATTATAGCCCGCCTACGTCGCCCTGCTAAGATGCCGACGTGCTCCGGGCGCCAGTGACGCCCTGCACCGGTCCCGTCCTTGGCGCCCTCTCCCGCTGGCTAACGCTGGACGCCGTCGGCGCGCCGGCAGGAGGTGGGCTCGGGCATCAGCGCCCACAGCCTGCTGCGCGAGCCGCACTGCTACCTGCACCTGCTGCGCTTCTACGATGGCCTGTGCCAGTGGGAGCAGGGCAGCTCCACGCCCGTGCTGCACATCGGCTGGGCCAAGCAGATGGTCGGATGCGTCTCCAAGTTTGACCCGGAGGTCCGCCGCCGGGTGGCCGTCGACGTCGCCGCCGCCGGTGGGTGAGGCAAGGCGACGGCTCTACGTGGGTGGGGGGGGGGGGGGGGGGGGGGGGGAGGGTGGGAGGGAAGGACGGGACGGGAGGCGGGTCGCTGCTCAGCTCCAGGTACACGGGGTTGGGCGGGGGTGCGTGGTGCACGAAGTGTTTGCCATTATGGTATTAAGTGCCTTGGTGAAAAGATGTTTGCCGCACAAAGCGTGGTATCAATGGCAAGGCCAAATCATTCCGTGTAAAAGTTACATGGTTCTTGTGCGGTTGTTATTTGGATGTTTGCTTGTTGGCTTTCCGTGAAGCTCTTTTTTGCATAAAAGCCACGGACGCTAGGCTAGAGTGTTTTCCGCTTTAAACTAAAAGCGGCATTTTATCTGAATTGTGAGCAGTAATCACGTAGTAAGAGCTTATCTTTACTGCATGCCAGTTTGCTTTGGTTTTGCCTTCCATCTATCACCGGTCTAGCTAACACAGGCTGTTCTAGTCCCAGCCAAAGTGGCGCGTTACTCTACAGTGCCCGTCGGCGATCCCAGTATGTGCCGGCACTGACCGCCCGCCGCTCGCCGCGTGTCGCAGAGCCGCCGGCCAGCAACGGCTCCTCGAAGGAGGCGGAGCTGGAGCGGGAGCGTCAGCCGCCGCCGGCCGGGCCGCACCGTGTCCGGCTCGGCTCCGAGAAAGATGGCCGGTCTGCGCGAACCTGCTGACCTCGGAGCGCTTCAACCCGCAGGTGAGCGGCGCCCCTCCGTGGTGTCGGACTGGTCGATGGTTTTGTCTCTGGTGGTCTCGATCGGTCTCTCCCGCTCTCTTCATTCCACCGCGTTGCCGTGCGCGGTGGTACCTGCGCTGTCGCTCTGTCGGCCGTCGCGTGGGTGTTCTATGTCACGATGAGCAGCACCGTGCCGCTGGACGCCAGTTGGGGTTGTCCTCGTGCTCTCCCCTGGACGCCGTGGCGCGGCGTATGCACCGCGAGTCGCGCGTGACGGGCCGCGCCCGTCGCCGACAGGCCGTGTCGCTGCAGCTGAACTGCGCATGTCGCAGGTCCCTCCTCCAAGCTGAGGGACGACGAGGACGGCCGCCGACCGAAGCGTCCAGCGCCGGGAGGCGCGGCGGGCCGGCGGCCGAGTAGGCCCCCGCCGGGCCCTGCCGTCCGTGGCCGCGCGCCGGGGCGCGGAGAGCGGTCTGGGCGGCGAGGGGCGCGGCGCGGCGGGCGATTCTCGGCCGTCTCGCCGCCGCGGGCCGTCGAAGGAGACTTGGCCGACGCTGCGGCGCTTCGAAGCGCCGCTGTTGGGCGCGGCGGGCGACGTTCCGGCGCGCTCTGTGACGTCCTATCTCGCAAGAAACTCGCGAACGTTATTTTTCTGACGTTTGTTGTTACGATGGGCTTTGGCGCGACGCTCGCGCCAAACGCCTACACCGAGAGGAATCGCGCGCGAACACCGTGACCGCTCCATATGAGGCTGTCTGTGGAGCGCCGGCGATCCCACTGTCGCAGGCAGGACGGCTGGCCCGTGCGGCGAGAGCCAGCCGCCGGGCTGTTGGGCTTGGGGTCGGAGTGATGCAGGCCAACCCCGGCGTGGCGGCTGACCGCAGGTCGCGGCTGAGACTGATGATCGGAAGAGGTGCCGCCGTGAGCCCCCGGCTGACTGCGTGCTCGGATCATCGCCGGCGTGCTGTTCAGCGTCAATGTAACTATGACCGAGCACAGATCACCCCCGTTCACTGCTGTAACTCCCTGACTGGGGGCGACGGCACCCTCAGCAGTGTCCACGTGCGGCTTGTGCGGTTGCTGGAGACGTTCTTGGATGCGTGACTTCAAGAATGTGGTCAATTGCGATGCGTACCAAGCGGTCGCCCGATACATGTACAGTTCAGGAATGAGCCGGTCTGCTGTGTGAGTCGGGTGACACGCTTTTCGCGACAGGGTGCAGCACGCCAGCGGTGGCCGTCAGCCGGCGATTGATTGCTTTGTGCTTCAGGGATGGACCGTCCCGCTGTATGGACGGACTTCAGTATTCTTTCCGTTTTAGGAGCGAAGTACGCTTGCACTGGCTGTTTGTTCTGTATCGTGTAGGGTGGTCTGTGCGAAAACTTGCACGCTTATCGCACAGGCTTCGCACGTACTGTACAATAACCGGCCGTTCTGTTTTATATTGCTTTTCGTATCGCGCACTCCTGAGCGGTTTTATCTCTGCAGTCTAGGCGTGCACGTGCCGGTATGTGTATATGATGATGATGGTGGGCGCTGTACTCCGCTTCAGGATGTGGTTGTGAGCCTCGCTGGCAGGGCGGGCGGCCGGCAGATCTCGAGGCGGCCGCCACCGCCACGTGTGCGTGCGGGGTCTGTGTGGGCTGTGTTGGTACCTGAACCCGATGGAGGGCTGTGAGACGGGCTGGGTGACTGTTGTGGACCGCGGGGCGGCCGCGCGAGGACGCGTGGCGCGGCGGCTGTAGCGAGAGGCAGCGCCGTCTCCGAACCCCCCCGGACAACCGGCCGGCGGTTGGGCCGGCTGAACGTTCGAGCGGATTGAGCGTGGTGGTGACTGGCTCTGTATGGGTGGGCGCCGCCAGCGTCCGGTCCGTGGTGAAGTCAGGTCAGACCAAGACCCGCAGACGGCAGAGTGCGTGCTGTGTGGTAGATCGATGCCAGCCACGGTCCCGGGAGAGGCGTGTTTGGAGGGCGCGCAGGTGGCGTAGTGTGTCGTGCTCACCGGCTCTTTTGTCATGTGTACTACAGGTCGCCACGAATCATTGCATGCATCCGCACATGTCAGCGCTCGCGCCGCTGTGCAGACTCCAACGTAACCTGCGGCCCGGCGCGGAGCGACGGGGAGCGGTTCTGCCGGATTATGTTGGGGGAGTGATGTGCCAGCAAGGCCGCCTGGCGCGGTACACAAGTGCGCGTCACGTATGCCCCCGCGCGTGCCCGACGAGCGCCCACGCCGTACAGCGTATCATTCCCCAGTAGATCCCACCACCCTCGTGCATGTGGTCGTGGTGGCCCCTTTTCTCCGCCATACCAGTTTTGCGTGGTAGACCACTGCGTGTGTCCCATTTGTGTTGGCCATACTGTGTTGTTTTGCGACTATCTCACCTTTGCAACGTTTCGACAGCACGTATTGTGCACGCTTAATCGTGACTTTAAAACAAATTGATAGGACTTTGTTCGCTGCGAAGGTACTGGCAGATTGCCATGCATTTCGCACGTACCATACTTCGTACTCGCAATCAACTTAAGAGTATTTTAGGTTAATAAATATCAATGTTTTTATTAGAGACCCTAAATAAACTTGCACTCTGACTGCGCCGTTTGAAGGGGTTTGGGCGGGCGTTTGCAGATTCGTCGGGACGCGCTCGTGTACCCTCCGGAGCTGGGAAAAGTCTCGTATCTCCCATTCTCCGTTCAACAACCCGCGTCTTTTTAGCTCACGCCGGCACGCCGACGCCAGACAGCTGTGGACTGCATTCCGCGGGGTTCGACCGCCGACACGCACGAGTCGTGCACGACCCATGAGTCCCGAACGCATCTTGGCCTGGATGTAAGACGACTTCGGGCTGAGGACCGGTATGAAATCCCAGGGTAATAAATTAGCATACATTTACGCGCTGCTGTGGTCCACAATACCAACAGCAGTGATACCGTTTCAAAACATCGGTTCAGACGGTGGCATCCGCCGAGTGGACACGTGCTAGTCTCCAACACAGACCTCTGTCTCAGACGGTCTGACCCCTGCATGGAAATTCAACTGAAGCAATGATCAGCCCCTGGCCTGGCGCTCCACGTAAAAACGACACTGCTACATCAAAACACCGTCCGAACGGTTTACAACGAACACTAACCCAACAAACCCACAATTCCAACAATCCAGCCCAAGCCTCACACCTCTCCAGTTCGTCTGGTCCACGGCGGCGACCGGCGTATGCGGCCACGGACGGTACGCCGTTGGATGACATGACCCTCCCCCTCCCACGGACGGTCCCGCATGGCGGCACGTGCCGGCTGGAGGCCGCCGCACAACAGACAACGCAGCGGCAGTAGCGCTCCACCCCAGCGCACACATGGAGAGCCTCCAGGCGCGGGGAATTACCTCGCCGCATCACAACAGGGGAAAGGCCGCGGCCGGCGCCGCGCCCAACGCCAGGCCGCCCACCGGCGCCCAGCGAGACCATCAGAGCCGCGGCAACATCCGCACGACCTGCACAGCACGCGCCGGTGACGGCAGCACTACTGCAGCGGCGCAGAGCACGGGAAACAGCGCAGCGTTGGCGAACATCAACACAAATAGCTCAACATGACACTGCGTCACAGCCGCGGCGAAGGAGCCGTAGCCGCAAGGGTCGCGTGCGCTGAACAGCAGTCCCTAAACACAGTTCCATGAGTTCGAGTTTCTGAGCAGGTTGTCTTTGGGTGGGCGAGGTGGCCACGGCCGGCGGCCGCTGGTGCCAGTCGACACGTCGTCGGGGAAGCACCGGCGGCCGGACCTCCCGGCGCTGACGTCCTCCCACCGGCGGAACGGCCGCACAAAGCCAGCCGGGCGCGCCACCTCAGGTCGCCGTCGGCCGCGCCTCTACTTCAACAGGGCCAGGTCCAGCCGCTGGTTGTAAGAGTGGGTCAGCGGGGGGAACAGAGCGTCCTTCAGCTCCCACCCGCCGGATGTCTCCTCCATCGCCAGAATGCTGCAGTACGGAATCTTGCCTGGTGACGAAACAGAAGCGACGGGCTGATTAGTGCCAGCTGGTTGTCGGCACGGGCAGACATTCTCCAAGGGCCGGGGGCTACTGCCAGACGTGGTCTCCACCTTCCCCAAGGGCCCAAAATATACTCCTCGAAAATCACCAAATCAGACCAACTTGACTTTGAGGGTGTGACATCACTCAATTTTGTTATTCACTATGTCAGTAAGTTACCACATATTCCTGTTTTGTCTTATATTTGTTTCCATTTTATCGAATTTGTTTTGTCTTATATTTGTTTCCATTTTATCGAATTTCTCCGAGTCTTGGGCTTCACTTCCCAAAACCTGATGTCACCTCCGTCAAAGAATTTGAGACTTTTTGGCCGCGAATCGCTTTTCATCGGCCAATCCCAGGCCTTCAGTTAAGCCCCGTCCCCTGATGAGTCTCATTCTGGCGTCTCCACGCCTGGTACGGACGGCTGGTAACAAAAACCGGAAGCATCCATTTTGAAGCATACAAATATTTTTATTTCACAATAAAGTAATTTGGCCCCTAGACTGATGCCTCAAATGTGGGCCTAGCCTAGGCTCAGTATCAGCTGGCACCAAACCGATGGATGCTCGGAGGCATCACCAGGCACGGGCTTGGTTCCAGGACATTCGGCCCCTGTGTTGAGCAACAGCCGCCGTTAGTTGGAAGGTTAAAAATCAACACTTAACGTGCTATCTAACAGCACAATAACTCGCTTCCAGCTTGCTTCTATGACCGACATTTAGTGACCATAACTTTGTCCTTGTCAGGCTAATGGGGACCCAGGCCGGCACGGATCTCTGTTCAGCATCGGGGCTCCCCTTTTCAGGATCGAATTCCTTTCTCCCTGCAGTGGGGCCCCTCGACTCTCCGAGTGCCCCTAAGCAACACCAGAGGTTTCCTGTATGGCATTCTGGGTCCTTGGCCCTGTCACTGTCCCAGAATTAGGCTTTAACTGGTGCGGGTCCCTGACTGGGCCCGAAGCTCCTGACGGAAGGCCTACTTTTGTCTGAGAGGTCTCCTAGTGACGAAAGAGAAGTTACTATAATCGAGATCGGAGGGCTCTGCTCCTGTTCGGCTGATGGGGTCTTTGGCCGGCACGGAGCCCCTGTCCAGTATCGGAGCTCCCTGGACAACAGATATTCTCAGACTCCTGCCCGACAGTATCGGGCAGTACCCTTGTGCAATATGGAATCCCCTCTCAGTATCACAGGCCCCCTCAGTTTCGGGGGCCCTTGGCCGATTGGCGAGTATCTCAAAGTCTCACATATCCGAATGCCGTCTTCGGTCAACCGGAACTTTGGGCCCCAGACCACCATGGGGAGAGACGAAAGCCCTCTCTATCTCCACCCCTTGTACCCCCCCCCCCCCCCCCCCCTGATTGTCGGCATAATGCATACGACACTGGACACCACTCAGCCAAGACATACATGACACAATTTAAAACAGACCATGAATCACCAGTGCCGCGTCGCCACTGAGCTGGCCGATGACAACTCTGGTTCGGTATTTCTCGCTTCACGGGGGCGACAACAATAGCGCCACCCCCGAGTGATCACTGTCGGCCCAGTCCTCCACCCTGAGCGGTCCAGTTCGCCCGGTGCTCGGCCCCCAGCCGCGTGCCCTGGTCGGCCCAGTCCTCCGCCCCGAGCCGCCCAGCTGGCCTGGTGCCCGGCCCCTGTCGCGGGCATAGTCGGCCCAGTCCTCCGCTCCGAGCAGCCCAGCCGGCCCGGTGCTCGGCCCCAGTCGTCAGCCCCGTCGGCCCAGTCCCCTCAGCCCGTCGGCCGGCACCCGGTCCGCTCACCAAGGAAGGCGCGCAGCTCGACGGCCGAGCGCGGCTGGTGGCCCGTCTGCTGGCGCGTGCACGTGTCCAGCGTGGCCGCGTGGCCCACCAGCAGGATGTTGCCGCTCGCTGCGCGGGGTGCGGGCGGTCAGCGGCGGCACGAGCACGCGCAGCAACGACAGCAGGCCGACACTGCAGTCACGCCACACACAGCAGCGACAGGCAGACACTGCGGCCCCGCCGCCACTACGACGGGACAACAGCGTACGTAGGATGTACCAATGGAGACGGCTCGACAATGTGGCCGCACAAGGAAAATGATGGCCCTACATTGCAATGGCGAACGTACTGCAGCAGAAATCAGCTTCAGGTTTTCACAAATCACACCAGGCTTGAAAAACCGTCGCAAAAGATCCATACCCCCTCCCCCCCCCCCACCACCGCATGGTGTCTGTTTGTCCCGTACGCCTCCGCGCCTCACCGGCCGGCCGACCCACCTGCGGTGCGCAGCGCGTGCTGCGTGACGAAGTGGTTGCGTTGGTAGTACTGTTCACAGCTCTCCTTGCCGGCCGACCCACCTGCGGTGCGCAGCGCGTGCTGCGTGACGAAGTGGTTGCGTTGGTAGTACTGTTCACAGCTCTCTTTGCGATCGCGCAGCTCCTCCACGGTGACGAGCGGCCGGTAGCCGGCGTCCACGTTGAAGCCCCAGCTCTGTAGCTCAGACACGCTCAGGAACGAGGGCAGTCCGTCGGAATACCAGACCAGCCACTCGAACAGGCCCGGCTCGATGCGCAGCGGCAGCTGGTGTTGCATGCCCATGCCTGCCGGTAGACAGGTTCACCCGGTAAGATGCGGATGTCGAGACCTTTGCGGATCTCTCGCAACATGTGATGCTTCGAGGGGATTTTGACATGAGACAGAAAAGCACGCCTATGTGCATAGTGCACGCCATTCAAATGTGCTTCGTTACCTTCTGACAGATCTTAAAGGTGAACCATGTCCTCCATTTCGAACGATGATGATGGCCCAACAATTTGCGCCAGTCCCTTCAGCTTTCTGTTTGAAGATGATAAGATGAAAAAGTGTCGCGAGATTTCTTCGCACGTGCTTCTAATTTCCCAAGCAGAAGAATTCCAATTACTGAACTGTTACATATTTCAGACACAATCCTGGCAGCTGTGTTATTTGACGGCTCCATAGACTTCAAGCACAATGAGTTTCATTGCTAGACTTATCATTTTGTTGACATGCATCGTAACCGTTTCCTTTGCACTGCAGTGCTTGACTTGTCATTCTCCCAAAATGTTGAAAATTCCTGGCGTTCAAAAGAAATTTAAGAATGTCATGGCAGCCATCCTTCACATGGGTATAATGAGCATGAATCAGACTGTCTTGGACGATCCTAACAACAACTTTAAAGGCTGGAAAGAGCTGCCGGACTGCGTCCATGGAACACCAAAGGAGGTAAATTGTACGGAGGGCCAAGTCTGCGGATATAACGAGATGCACGACAAGTACTTCGCCAAGCACTGTTTATGGTTGAACCAGACGCTGTATCAAAATATGACCCTCAACAAATGTTATATTCACGGAATGATTATGCACAAGACCACGTTCCTGTACTGCGATACGGACAATTGCAACAAAGATCACATCAAAGGGGACGACCGAAAGGAATGCAGCGTACACACCTGGCGCATGAAATCGTTGGACCCTTCCATGGGAGGTTCTAACGCGAACGACAAAAAAAGCTCCGCTAGCGCCGGCAGCACCCCGGCCAGCTCCAGGGTACAAGCACTCGTAACAGTGATAATCACCGCGATGAGTAGCGCTTTCCGATACAAACTGTGATCGAAACGAAACACGGGTGGTTCTGAAAGTTAGACGTCATCAGACAGTAACTTCAGTCACCCTACAACGAAGAAATACAGAAATTGCTGAAAGTATATTAATGAAATGCTCCAGCATGAAATCACTGGGCAGCCATCCGAACAATGAAACGATTACGTCAGCTGTCAACTATGGCCCTGTGGTATTTTCGATGTTAAGTTCGCAGTCTTTTGTTTTGTGTTGTGCGCGGCACCTGTGATTTGTTATGGTGAACCCGGTACCACGATGGGGCAAGTATGACACGTAGTTTTTGCTTTACTTATCCGTACTGTAGCGAATACACAGCCTTTCACCGAAATCATTATATCATGACCCATGCTTGGCTGGCTGATTGACACCACGCAGAATTCATCCATCCAACGCGAAGACCAATGCCGACTCACATTTGACGGTGCCGAATGACGTATGATGCATATATGTCCGCATGAATATTACGTTAATGAACGGTTGACAGCAACAAGCATGCACGATAACCAGCGCGTCCGAAAGATATGCGTTTCTTTCCCAAGACTTATGGGCACAGCCAGTGAGCCGACATCCTTTACCACAAACTAACAGGCATGTCGTCTCAGGTTCTGGTAGGAGGTCCAGAACTCTGTCCACACCGATTTTGTTACAACTCTTATAGGGCCTTTTTCGAATATCAACTGCGTCTGGTGGTGTTTTGCTAGCCCTGAAACTGGCCCAACGAGTTTGCATCGGATCATATCGTTTTAACTAGGCCGTTCCCAAAATCATGATCTGAAAAACACCACCTGGCGAACGTCATCCAACAGGGTCTGTGTTGTGGCTTCGACTCGGCTTTACCTCGTGCTTCTATTACCTTGGCATGGAGCCTGCAAACTCGGATCCATGCGTATTGCCGGCCGGAAGTTGGAACAATCACGTGCAAACGCAATTACAACTCAGCGGCTGAAGTTTCACGGTTGCCTCGATGTGATAAACATGCAATATGTTTGTTTTTTTATTAGATTGATTCGAACCGTTTGAATGGATCGATTTCTGGGATCAGAGCTCACGCTAAGCAATGCTTGTTGTGCGAGCCCTGACCCTACCACCCGATCGCGTAACTCAAGGGTAACGTCAGAATTTGGTGGTGAAATTTAACGTGCCGCAACGTTCGGCACGGTCCGTCCCGTCCTCTGACGTCACCCGACCTTCAGCGATGCCACCGGCCGCAGGCCATACCTGTCCAGACTAAAACCAACACGAGCTCAGTGGCTCCGAGTCGCGCATTCAGCAAACGTGATGATATAAGTGGGACTAATCGGTGAACTAATACCGTCAGGCTAGCCTTAAATTGGTGGCTTCGCAAAGCTCTGATCTTCATGAAACTCACCCAGATTCAACCAGGGCGCGTGTGCTAGCTATTGTATACTTCTGGGGCAAACGCACGGCAAGTCGGCCGAAAGTATGCCAGCACTTCAGCATTGGACTGCAGTACGCATTGGACCGGTGTCGACGCCTCAGCGATATACAATCGGCCATCTGGAAGCAGTCGGCCCGCGACGATCATTTGTGGTTCTCGCGCGCGAGCGGGGTGTTTGGTGCCTGGATTACCATGCTAATTCTCCAAGCAATACACGTCGCTGGCCTCTGCAGCTGCAGGCGTATGTAAAGTGGAGTGGCATCGGGCGTTCCAACATTAACCACGCACGCAGCGCCCATGAAAGTCTCAGTTGATAAAATACTTTGCTCCACCACTGACAATTTCTACGTTACCACGTATATATAATATATATATAGCACGTAATACTCGTCGACAGTGAAAGGTCGCAGGTTACCATATTTACCCATAGCTGATGCGCCTTGCTCGATGTTGACACCAACAGGGAACCCTGCCGGCCTGTTGTTTCTCGCCCTCGTAACATCAGGCGACCGTGCGTGGTACCAGGCGACAGTCACGGGGGTGCGCCTGATACCGGGCAGGTTAACTCGGCTCCGGCGAAGTTCCCTGGGGCTCGAGGTTCCCAGCTGAGGTCTCCTGGTCCCGGCTGGGGTCCCCAGATCCCGGCGGGAGCCCCGGGTCCCAGCGGGGGTTTCGCGGGCCCGGCTTAGATCCTACGGATCCCGGCTGCGGTCTCCGGGTCCCCGGCAGGTGCCCTTGGCTCCCGGCAGGGACCCCCGGGTCACGGCAGGGCTCCCGCTGGTCCCCGGCAGCCGACTGAGCGGCGTTCTCGTCCGGTGTGTGAGGCCACAGGCGGCACGGTACCTGCCAAGATGAAGTAGGCCGTCTCGACGCAGCGCAGGCTAGGCGAGCAGTACACGTGATGCACCTGCACGTTGTGCCGCTTCATCGCCTCCCCTGCGGAGAGCCAGACACTTCTGCAGCCAGGAACAGCACGCGGCAGGCGAGCTCGCCTCACCCCGCGCCGGGACTGCGAACGTCTCGCGCGGCGGCTTCAGCGGGCGACAGTGGCAGTGACGTCACAACTGGCACCTCAGCATCCTGTTATACCACACCGGAAACACACCGCGGCCTTCCTCTGGCCAAGTGTGCGCATGCGCGCAAGTGTCATGTGCGCGACAGCCAAAGCGAGCTTATGCCGTGGACAAACCGAGAGCCCGGGACAACAAAGGCCTCGCATGAAGTGGATTGATGAGTTCAGACTTATTCAACCAAATCATTCAACTCAACGGGGAAGCAGGTGCTCGAGTAACGTTAACGACTCGTAACGTAAGTCCAACGTTAACGTAAGACTCGTACCGTTAACGTAAGTCACGCCGATGGTTCATTTGCACACGTTTTCAAAACTGTTGCTCGAACAAGAGCTCGAGTGTCCCAGCACGTGTTCTTCCAAGAGCCAAGCCATGCCCGGAGTCGGCGCCGACGCGGGCGGCGCTCGCCGGTGTCCAGCGGGGATGCCGTCTGTCAACTCACCGGTGAGGCGGGCCTGAACGCGGCCCACCTGCGTCACGGGCGAGTCCTTGGCGAAGCCCTTGGGCCCGTCGGAGCGCGTCCGCAGCGTCACCGGCATGTTCAGGTCCTTCTGCACGTAATTCCCTGCAACGACAGCGGCACTTGTGATGCTGCGCCGGCTCACCCAAACGGATGGAGATCGGGATCATTCAGTACAGTCGACCGCCGCACTGGCGCATGTGCTGAAGGCATTGGTAGCCGCATTACTGCCGAATTGATTGTCACAGTGCTTAAACTGGTCACGTTTACGCAAATCATTATTGCCCTGCATGCATGTATCAAACATAGAATGCTAATCTCACTTAATGCTGTTTATTTTTCTCCCTCTCCCTCTCCCTCCCCCTCTCCCTCTCCCTCTCCCTCTTCCCTCTCCCTCTCCCCCCCCTCTCCCCTCTCCCTCTCCTCTCCTCTCCCTCTCCCTCTCCTCTCGCCCCTCCCTCTCCCTCTCCCTCTCCCTCTCCCTCTCCCTCTCTCCCTCTCCCTCTCCCTCTCCCTCTCCCTCTCCTCTCCCTCTCCCTCTCCCTCTCCCTCTCCTCTCCCTCTCCCTCTCTCCTCTCCCTCTCCCTCTCCCTCTCCTCTCCCCCTCCCTCCCTCTCCCTCCCCTCTCCCTCTCCCTCTCCCTCTCCCGCTCCTCCCCTCTCCTCTCCCTCTCCCTCTCCCTCCCCTCTCCTCCCCTCTCCCTCTCCCTCTCCCCTCCCTCTCCCTCTCCCTCTCCCTCTCCCTCTCCTCTCCCTCTCCCTCTCTCCCTCTCCCTCTCCCTCTCCCTCTCCCTCTCCCTCTCCCCTCTCCTCTCCCTCTCTCCTCTCTCTCGTCTCTCTCTCTCTCTCTCTCTCTCCCCTCTCTCTCCTCGTCTCTCCTACTCCTCTCCTCGCTCGATCTCATCTCTCTCTTTGTGCATCGCAAGAGTTGTCAGTTAAATTGGGCGGCTCTTTTAGCTGTCACAGAAAAACGACCAACTGGTTATGGGACAAGCCACTACTGGAGTTGCGGGCAAAATAAAGCCCAGCGGTGTCTGTCAGTCATGTTTTTATTCTGAAACATGGCTGGTGCCTGAGTTTAGGGAACAATTCGTGGCAACAAGCAATGAAACTGAAGACACGGGATCTTTCTTACTACAACTCGAGAATCGCGAGTTCACCACGCGACGATACAAAATGCGCGATTTTTACTGTTCTGGTTTATAGATGATCACATTTTTTTTTAACTAATGCACTTGCAGTGCACTATGGAACGCAATCCCACCAGAGTAATCCAACAAACGAATCCATCCGCTCTTGGGCGTTTTCAGGACTGCTGCCAGATCGCTTCAACCATAGCAGATAATGATGCGTGACCAACTGCACTATGAAGGCTTTGCACTATGCAGGTAAACCGACAGATGCGTTTAAAAAGCTGGCACGCGTTTCATAAAACGGACAGGAAAGCATATGGAAAAAAGCTGTGCCCTGTATGTGCCTATATCGAACCAACTATCCTCAAAATGATCGCTTCGGGCAACGTGTGCCCCCGAAACTCGCACTTCGTTAAGATGCCGCGTAGGTTTTCAGTGTCGCCTGGAGGAAACATGTTATGAGTTCTTTCCAGCGGACAGTTCCTGAAACAGCCATTTTGCGCCACGTCTTTACAATGGGAAGTTGATGCATTTTGCAGCAAATCATCGCGACACAGTCGCCATGACCCACTGTAAGACGCAGTCGACAAGCATCACGCACGAATACATTAAACAGACCCTCCAGAACACAACAAACTGATAGCGATAAGCGAACCTGCCTTCGCGTTTGTGCTACAAACATTTCCTGCGCGTCCTCATATATTTAAGTCTGACCTATCCTACAGGAAAGTGAAAAGCGTTTCGAAGTAGCTCCATACATGTTAGTATGTCATGAACAGCACGTAGTCGAAGAAAACACAACGTATGCTTGTTTTAATGCCGCAGTTCCTTTTCAAACGCATATCACAAAGTACCACACGACTGCCTAATTGAAGAACAACCACCTCGGGAGAAAAGGAATAAGCGTGTGGTAAATGGTCGACGAGAGGAACACGCTTTAGGCGTTTAAACGACACATGCCAAGATAGAACACAATATTTAAGTTGCTGCGATTACATTTAATGAGTTCTCATTATTACTACACCAAATTCAAATACATCTGTACTAACCACTGTAATGTATTTCGAGGTTTTGCTACTAGTCCATGCATTGCCCATGCATTTAAATTAAATAAGTTTGAAACTCTGCAGTGGATAGCACACTCCATTTAAGTATGTTGAAGACAGTCATATAACATCTAAAAAACGAAAAAGCTACGGTTCACGTACCACCATGCCACACTCAAGTGTAGCATCGGTCGATGTTGCTGTATGAAGATTCATTCGGTTGCGTTTCCGCCTACGTGGTCCCCGACAAGTTAGCAACTATGCGAGTTTTTAATGAGGAGAATGGTTGTAAATGTGATGCCCGGAGGCTCCTCCGTAAAACGTTACACACTGGGGTGTCCGGAGCCTTGTTGACGGCGGCCCGGACTTATTCGATAAGCCTGAGTCACGCCGGCCGCTCCCTACAAGGCGGCCGGCGTGGGCCACGTAGAACGAATTACAGCTAAGGACCTTACACTGCAGGCTTGACTCCGACTCGAGTGCAGACGCTACCCAGCCCCGGAATGGATCCTAACGGAGGCGGCCTCGGACCGAAAGTCTCAGGGGCTAGCTCTGTCCGCAACGGGCTAACGCGCCGGCACCTCCCCTACTCCGGCCGCTCACCGCCCTCGTCGAAGCAGAACGGGATCCACGAGCCGTAGGTGAAGTCGACCCGCTCTCCGTGGCGCGCCACCCACACCTGGCGCGGTGCCGAGCTGTCGACCGACGCCGCCAGGGGCGCTGGCCTCGCCGCCGGCCGCTCCGCCTGTTTCACAGAACGGGGCCAGCGTCAGATGCGTGCGTGCCAACACCGTCCCAAACGACCTCAGCTCGTGGATTCAACATTAAACGCAAGGATTCCTTTTCAGGTACGTACACGATCAGTCCGTGCGGGGTCAACATATGGCGCCTACAGACTGGATGCCGAGGTAATGACCGATGTCTACCCTTTTCCGGGGTTAAGTCACAGTGTTGCGTATACACCTCCCGCGACTCACCACCGACCTCCGCGCGCGGCCGGAACAGCGCCGCCAGCGCCCGCCGACCCCTGCGCGGGTCAGTGGGACAGGGCAGACTGACCTGGGCCGGCGGGTCGTCCGTCACCAGCACGTTGTCGTAGACGGAGCGGGGCCGCTCGGCCGTCTCCTGCAGCGAGGTGTCCGAGCCGAGCGAGGAGAGCGACTGCCGCAGCCGCTCCTGGCTGCTGGCGTGCTGCAGCGGCTGGCGGCGGCACGGCGGCCCGTCCAGCTCCTCCGACAGCGCCGACCGGCTCATCGGCAGCGCCCTGTGTCGCACACACCGACATACAGACGTTTGCACCTGCACCGCCGACCGGCTTATCGGTATCGCCCTGTGCCACACGTACACACACGCACGCGCACGCGCACGCGCGCACACACGCACGCACGCACGCACGCACGCACGCACGCACGCACGCACGCACGCACGCACGCGCGCACATACACACACACACACACACACACACACACACACACACACACACACACACACACACACACACACACACACACACACACACACACACACACACACACACACACACACACACACGCACACGCACACGCACACGCACACGCACACGCACACGCACACGCACACGCACACGCACACGCACACGCACACGCAAACACACACACACACACACACTGACATGCCGACACGTTACCGCCGTTTTCGGTGCCCAGCGGCAGCGGCCCGCGTCAGCCGCCAGACGCGCGGGCTGACGCTCCGACGCCGGCCGGTGTCAGCGAGCGCCGCGGCGCCGGCCGGCCCCCACCCACCTGTGCAGGGTCCAGGAGTCGGACTCGGCCATCGGCTGGATGTAGTTGTGCGGCAGGAAGCCGCTCTGGCCGGTGAGCCAGGAGGTGGCCTCGACCCAGCCGTCAGGCGAGTTTTGCAGCGAGTCACGCGACACGTACACGTAGTCGCCCACCACCAGCTCCAGCTCGTCCGGCTCGCGCGGCACGTGCGCGTACAGCACCTTGTGTACCTGGCCGACAGAGGAGGCGTCAGACGGCAGGCCGGCCGGCCAGGGCAGGGCTGGGACCGAGGACAAGACAGGGGCAGGTGGACAGGGCAAGGGGCCGATGACAAGACAAGGGCTGGTGGATAAGGCAGGGCGCCGAGGATAAGGCAGGAGGCTGGTGGACAGGGCAGAGGTCGAGGATAAGGCAGGGTGCCGAAGACAAGATTAGAGGCTGGCGGACAGGGCAGGAGGCCCGGGGACAAGGCAGGGCGCTGAGGACAAGCCCCGGAGCTGGCGGACAGGGCCGGGAACATCAGACCACAGCGGCGTAACGGCACGAGCTCGACAACACAATGACTCACACCGAAGTGTTGGACCAATGAAACGTTTCATTTGACGACCAGAACAACCGGAATCACATACACATCAGGCATGATGTCTCTTGAGATGCGCGGGTCCATGGGAGACACGGGCCTCCCCTAAACACACACAACACATACCACACTTTCAAGCCGGACGCACTGACCTCTCGCCCCTCTAACCGCGGATCTCTCGAGTACAGTCGCAGCTCCCAGAGACAGGCGCTGGTAGGGTCCACCAGCGTCAGCAGCTCCTCCAGCTGGACAAAGTGCGCCGCCGAGAACTGGTAGGCCAGGGTCAGGTGGAGCGACTTGGTCTGTGCCTCCAGCTTGATGTCTGAAAGCAGGCCACACGTCACGTGCCGAAAACAGCTTCGCTTAGGTGCAGCCGCGCCGTGAACATGTACGTCAAAAATATAAACGTCTACGAGCGAGAAAATGCATAGAGCGAACGGAAGCAAAATAAATGATATTGCCGGTGTTTATCAGACCGCAAAATAACGGCCACAAACTAGGTAATACAAGAAACAAAAATATAGCGTCGGGCGTGAAAGTCCACATCGCACAACTACGCGTCAGGCAGGAACACGATTAGGAGAATTCCCAACACAAGGCAGTATGTGCAAACGGTGCATATTGCGGCGAATAGCTTAAAATAAGAGAATTCAGTCCTTGTGAATTCGGCCCTTGTGCTTATGCTACTGTAATACAACAACAAAAAATGTGTGAACCCCAGCCAACCTTCCCCTGATTGTGCGGTCTGCGTAAACAGAATGACGCCACACACTAAAGTAGTTATCAACAGCCACCTGGCCGGCATCAAAAGATCGCACATCTGTTGCCTCAGTGGTCAGCCTTGGTTCGGCACACTACATCATCGCATGGCCTTCGACGGGAGTGGAGACAGAGCTGTGCCCTGGCGCGGAACATGTCCATGTACCTCTGGCTTACTGGTCACCAGCCCAGTGTGACCGGGTCAGCCAGAGGACGGCCGCGGAGCGGCACCACTCACTGCGCCGTTCCACGGGAACCGCGGGGACCACTCACTGCGCCGTTCCACGGGAACCGCGGGGACCACTCACCATGCCGTGCCACGGGAACCGCGGGGACCACTCACTGCGCCGTTCCACGGGAACCGCGGGGACCACTCACTGCGCCGTTCCACGGGAACCGCGGGGACCACTCGCTGTGCCGTGCCACGGGAACAGCGGGGACCACTCACTGTGCCGTGCCACGGGAACCGCATGAACCACTCACTGTGCCGTGCCACGGGAACCGCGGGGACCACTCACTGTGCCGTGCCACGGGAACAGCGGGGACCACTCACTGCGCCGTGCCACGGGAACCACGGGGACCACTCACTGTGCCATGCCACGGGAACCGCGGGGACCACTCACTGTGCCGTGCCACGGGAACCACGGGGACCACTCACTGTGCCGTGCCACGGGAACCGCGGGGACCACTCGCTGTGCCGTGCCACGGGAACCGCGGGGACCACTCACTGTGCCGTGCCACGGGAACCGCATGAACCACTCACTATGCCGCGCCAGTTCGCGGGCTAGCTGCGCCGTCATCTTTTTCAGCACGTCGGCCTGGGCCTCCTCTATGAAGAGGCCCATGTAGTTTTGCGAGACGTAGCGTTCGAGCCGCCACCGGTCGGGCAGCTGGGCCAGGCAGCGGCCCGCCGTCCGCTCCAGCGTGTCCACCAGCAGGCCCACCTGGCGGTGCGTCACCTGCGGCGTCGGGGAGCGCCGGTCAGCGCCGCCGGTCGGCCCCCGCACAGCACTGCACAGCGGATGGGCTGTGCGGTATTATACACACAGCACAGCCTCCACACGGCAGCTGTCGATCCGGGCAGCGCGCTCACGGTAGGGCGCTGGCCAGAATCACCATACAGGAGCTATCATTCGACTCGACGCTTACATGAGACAACGAATCGAACTGGAGATCAAGCGTTGTGCTCGCGTGCCTGCACCCGTATACACGCGCGTCAACCCATGGAGCTGCCGTCCGTCCATGGAAGCAAAAGCTTAAGACACAGCTGAGCAGCGATGCCGACCGCACCTTGAACGGCGCCGCCAGTGTGACGTGCGGCAGCAGCGAGTGGGCGCCGTTCCTGCCGCACTGCGTCAGCACGCGGCGCCGGAACTGGGTCAGCTGCTGCAGCAGCGCCCCCGTCGGGCACATGTACAGGTAGAAGTCACGCGTGTCGCCCTCGTCTATGTGCGGGTCGTTGACGTGCGCCAGCAGCCAGTCAGAGGCCAGCTGCACGCCCCGGTCTCCGGTGGCGGCCAGCGCCTTCTCACTGGGTGGGGAGGACCAGCGTGACAGAGGTGGGGGCGCTGTAGCACTGGGACTGGCCCCAAGCCACTACAGCCAGACAACTGAAAGTCAAATGGACACAGGCCTTGGACTGGCATTGGTGCCCATGAGTTATGGTGTGGGTTATTGGATACAAAAACCTTGGACATAAACAATAATTGTATACAGTGTTAACATTGCATACATATTACATTAAAACATATTTAAGAGACTGAAGTTAACCCAAAGCACAAAGAATGCAACCATGGTGCTCTGGGCAGGAATACAGTCAATGAGAGACATCCTGCTTAGAAAACAGCTCAGTTCAGAAAAATGGACACAACCTGGTGTTCCTGAGCAGAATTGTGATAGACATGCAGTCTAGCTGTAGGAAGGTAGAACTTCATTGCTAGCACAGCTCTTGTTATGAAAACTCTAGTGTTTCCCATGGCTTGTTATGAAAAATATAATGCTTCCCAGGGCTTGTTATGAAAACTATGTTTTCAAGTTTCCCCAGCTGTTAAAGCTGCCCCCTAAACTTTATTCCAGCATTCATGTCATTTTTTCTGATATTATGCTGTGAATGTCCATAGAAGTTCACAAAAATCACTGGTTCATTATTGCAGCATCTTGGAGGCTAACTTGCAAAGAAGGCCTGCCCAAAATCCAGCTGTTGGTAACAAGAATTCACATCTATTCAAGGTTCTATTTAATACCACTCCTGACTGGCAGCAAACCCCAACTGCAGCTGTTTCCAGGCTGGAACTTCTGCATCTCAGAGCTGGTGGATCCTGTTCCACAGCTACCCCCATACTCTCTCAGATGATGTGCATCACCAGGTAGTGACTGCAGCATGAGATGGCACTTATAATTGCTCTCTCGGTGCACATGTATTATATCCTTGACAGAATCAAGAGTGTGGTAAGCACAAATCCACCAACACAGTTGGTAGCAAGCAAGTTTTTGGCAGGTTGTAATCACTTGAAATCAGCTGGCTGATGTGTGCAGAGTAGAAAATAGTGAAACAATGATGCTATAAGATTTATTTTAATAATTACACCAAAAGGTCATATTAACATCCTTATCCATGCATATAAATTTGTTGTTCAGCACACTATGGTAATATTTAGGTAGAAAGTAAGGAACAATGAAAGCTTGCTGACTCACTGACAAAAACACACACAGCAAACTTGCAAGAATGCAGGAAATATGCATAACATGTGATCAACTCATTGTCACTAGGGTTAGAAAAAAAAACCACAGGAACCATGCAAAATCAAGCATAATGTGACATACTACAGTGTAACCATATAATTTATATATATATATATGCACAATGTCAAACTGCAATCAATTCATGGCGCACTCCTCTGGTTTCAGGTACCTGTCATCCAACATTTTCAAAGATTATACCAGTTGCCACCACTGCATGCCATACAATTTGTACTCACGCTCTGTTTTGAGGAAATCCCATTTGAAGAAGTACATCTAATGACGACAGGCTCTGCTTTGTCCCTTTTGATGGGGTTGAACTCTTTCTGGGTGGGAGTGATGCCATGTTTGATGATCTGAAATGAGTGGCATCAGATGATTAAGACTTGCACAAAAACTCACTGATGAGCTATAGTACAGATTTGTGCCTCACTTTAACAGAAAACGCCGTCAATAGCCAGACAGCAGGGATATCATATGATGTCACCTTGCAAATTAAATAATCACATGCGCCAGGCTCTCACGCTGACGGTGCGACACCAGCGCGTCAAGGTCAACCCGGTGAATCAACGCTACACATTTGTGGTCGCGTTTCAACCTTCTTTCCAGCCGTACCAATGGGTGACTCTTCCGCATAGTGACGTTGTAATGTATAAGGATATGGCGCAAATACATTACATTACACACCTACTAGCGCCTGTGGCATAGATGTATATCGGTGGTTTACGGCAGTCTGTTAGTCTGTTCGCAGCGCGCATGTGGTCTCCATGGAGATGAACCTCACTCGCACAGAATTAGCCCTCGCACAATTCGGCATCGCCAGCATAGGCCTCGCGCACCCTGAAAGCGGCCTGTATGAACTAAATCTAGCTTGTAGATCAAGCAAAGTTGATATTAGTAGGTTCACTATGCATTTATGAATACATCCAAACCGGTTGGGACAGAACGGGATCACACGGAATACAGGACGGATCCGGAATGGAACGTCACGAGGCATGGCGGAGCAGGACGGGACTAACCCAAGCCAAACGTGACCAGGCGGGACCGGGCAACACCGGGCGGGATCAGACCAGTGGCGGCGTATCCGAAAGGGGAAAGGGGCAGTGGGGGACCTTGCCCCCCATCTTTTGAGGAGGAGCAAAAGTAGCTTTTTGCCCCCCCCCCCGTCCCTGTAATCTCAGGTAGCCCAGAAGGGCCCTCCGGTATATATGGTAGTGCTCGCTTCAACGTTACCAAAGAAGCGTTGGGAACCCTGTCTGGACCGCAAAGCGTCTATTTTAAGCTCGGAGGGGAATCGTTTCGTGCCCGCGAAGGGCCCATCTTAGGCTGGAAATTGCCTGTTTCAAGACGGGAAAACAATCAGGTCACTTCCAGGCGCGTTACGGGCCTAACTCTGGTCTGGACGGGGCTCATCGCAAGATAAAAAAGACCCATGTCAGGTCGGGAAAAGGGCTCATCGCCGTGGGTTCAAAGAGGGCCTTCTCCAGTCTGGAAAGGGTCCACCGTAAAGTCAGAAACGGCTCGTCTCAAATCACGTGAGAACTCCGTATCAGTTGAGAAACGGGAAACCTGAGGCTCGGAAAAAATCTATCTCACTTTTGGGCCCGGGAAGGGCCCATCTCTGGTCTGGAGTGGCCCTATCGTAGGCTCACACAGCCAGTGGCGGTGTATTCGCGAGGCTAAGTGTTCCCCATGAGGTAAGGGCCAAAACTATCTTTTTCCCCATATGTCAGATGGCCCCAATGGCGCCCCTCGCGGTTGTGTTGAAGAGGTTTAGCGTGTCATCCAAGGAACCGCACAGCCCATCTCGGGTGCGGAAAGGATTCTTTGTAAGGCAGGAAACCCCTTTAAAGTTTCAGGCACGGGAAGGGCCCTTCGGTCTGAAAAGGGCCCATTGTACACTCAAAAGGACCCGTCTCTGATCAGAACAGGTCCGTCGCAAACTCAGACGGGGTTTGTCTCAGGTCTGGGTGGGGTCCATCGCAAGCACAGAGAGGGCCCTTTCAGGTCTGGCAAGGGACCATTGAAGACACAAGCAGGGGCCTTCTTAAATCATGAAATGACACGCTATAAACTGACAAAGTGGGCATCTGAGGTCCGGAAAGGGCTCATCTAAACATTTTACCCCGAGAAGAGCCTATCTCAGATCCCACAATCTACGTCTTAAACCAGGGGAGAGGCCAAGTTTTGGTAAGAAGGGATGCGAGCGGCACACAGCTGGATAAAGGGCTCCCGGTAAAAAGACATCACGAAAAATCACCAGACTTGGCTCATTTTATCTCGAGAGTCACAGCTTCCTTCATTTGCCACCGTCATGCCGACGAATGCGTTTGTAGGGCGGATTGAACACTAAGGCGGATTGATTGAACTCAGCGGATTGAACACTAAGGAAATCCCTTACATTTCGTGGACAGGGAGACCCGTAAGTAAACCGCTATGGGCCTTATTGCCTTCCCTTTCCCGTTCACGTGTTGAAGGGCGTTCTCGTTCTAACTCGCCACCCAAGGTACTTGCTGGCTTTAATTCTAGAGACGCGGGGGGCCGGTCCCCCTAGTCAATCAGCAAAGGATTGGTTGGTTGGTTGGTTGTTTGGATTAGAGCCCTTTCGACCAGAAATGATCATTTCAGGGCTACGGGATGAAGGAAAATGGTTAACAGTGGGGCAAACGTGCATGCGCCTGGGGGGCCAACCGCCGAGCTTTAAATGGCGCATATGCACTGGGTATCCGCTCGGGGTCCCCCTTCCCACCGGGCTGTCGGCCCACTCGTGGCTGACACATGCAGCCTGTCCCATGTGGACAAGCGGGGTATCGCGAGGATGCAGGATGAAGTAAGATAGAGGATAAGAAGGTCGGCTAGGGCCGCAAAGGGATGCATCATGCATCGGTCCCCTCCCGGACGCAGAAGGCCCGCAGACCGGAGCAGTCGATCCCGGATCGGCGCAAGGGGTCTCATTAACGCCAAAATATCGCTTACCGACACACAGGAGCCTAATAATTGGCAGATGACTTCTGTTCGGTTCATCGTGCACATGACCAGAAGGGATGGAGGTCCCGGGCCATGTTCGTTCTTGGGCCCGTGCCTGACACAGGGCCCTTTCATTGTCTCATTATGAGCCCTTTCGTTGTTGTTTATCCTATCTCCTTTCGTCACCACCGGGCCCTAAGGGCCCCCCTGACATTCGGGGTCACGTCCCTGCCCCTACACAAAAAACAACCACGGCCTAATCTGGGCCCTTGCCGACAAAGGGTCCCCTGTTACGCGCACTGTGGCCCCCGTGACCAATACAGCGGTCCCTCATTGCCTCAGGGATCCTGAACAATGCAAATGGTCCTCTGACTGACAATCGCGGGCCCCAGGACGGTCCTGGCATTGGAAATAGGCCTTGGGCTGCCACGGGGCGGACTGCTCAAAAATCGTGGCTGCGGATCAACTGGGGGCCCGCGTTGCCCCAGGGACCCTAATCAGCGCAAGAGGCCCTCTGAGGGTCCTTGATCGTCGGTTCTGAAGAGCCCTAAGGGCCCGTCTGAACCAAAGGGGAGACATATGCGCCGCCGGTGCCCACATCCCCACCCCCAACCCCACACCCCGCCTGCGCCCCGCCTTCAGCTTATGATGGGCCCCGTTTCAGGTCTGAAAAGAGCCGATTTCCGGATAAGAAATGCCCATGGAAGTTCGCGCCTGGAAATGACCCATCTCCAATCAGGAACAGCCCATCGTAGGCTCACTACCTGTAGACTCACGACCCATGGGGCCGTGACCTCAAATGTCAGCAGGAGGACCTCTTGCACCGATTAGGGACCCCCGATAAAGAGCATTCCTCTGTTTCGGCCGGAGATCACCAACACCGAATAGTCGACTCCGTGCCGGCCGGAGCTTTGAGGCCCATTTCCCAAGCAGGAGCACGGCCGGGCCTGCGATTTATATTGGGCGGGGCCCTTGCAACAATGCGGGGCTCCTGTGTCCTTCAGAGGTCCACAGTGCCGAACAAGGTATTCTGTGCCAACAAGGGGCCTCGAGTCGGTCAGAGAAAAATGTACTGAACAGGGACAGGGACGGAACCGCGAGTGACAGAGGTCTCTTATCTTGGTCAGGGGACTCTGACAAGGAGAGGAAACATGACAACTTGTCATGATTATTCACAGTGAGGCAATGGAAGGTACCTTTGTCAGTCAGAGCCCCCAGTGTCGAAAAGTGGGTCCCCCAACCCAACTCCAAAACGGGCCCATTAAGCAAAATTAGAGTTCATGTGCCAATTATTGGATCACCTACGACGATCAGGAATGTTGTTGCGTCAGCGAGGGTTCCTGCGTCGATCCGGGATCAGCCGCGATTTGCGCGGGTCAGAAGCCATCCGCGTCATGGAGAGACTAATGTGATGTGATGTATCCCTCTAAGGGGTCCTCCAGATCGGTCGGGGATCCCGCCCCGTGTAACCATAATGGCAGCCGCAAGACACCCCACAGTGGGACGGAATGACCCTTCAGGCTATAATCGGGAACAGAACGGTGCCCCCTACCGCCCAACTCAAGAAGCCCCCCACCCGGAAAGAAATAGCAGGCCTCATTTGTATTCAAAAGAGCAAGTCGAAATGAGTTAAAAAACGAACGAGGCCATCCCAGGTTCGCCTAAGCACGTCTCTTCTTTTGCAGAATCGACCAGTGACACAAATTATCAAAACCCCTGAGCCTGCGCGCCTGTAATCTCGGAAGCAAGGACAGCGAAAGCCTGAGCTGCAGTTTCCGTACAACCGAGCGGCGTGGGTCAATGCATGCAACACCAGCTAGTGGGTGCCGGGCGCGCGAGACGACCGTTGCGGAATTACGCTTACCAATGTCTTGAAATTTAATTCGTACCGCTCTTCGGCTGGCTTTGGCTCTGCGGCGAACACTAAGCCGTGGCCAACGGATGAACAAAAATGATAACGTATTTGATAGAAATATCTTTGAACAGTTGACGATTTCATACCGTACATGTAGAAGGTAGCCGGGCGGATATTCTACCAAGTGCGGTTTCTAGATTGTTGAATTGAACGGATTGGCCTTTACAGCACCATTAAGTGGTGCATGGGGGAGTGAAGGTAGAATCTCTACTTTTCTATTCGCATTCTGCCATTCGTGAACTGAGCTTAATCTCTCAATGGTACGAGCTAATTTTCTAAGACATTCGGAAGCGTTATTTCACAACGGTCGCTGCCGAGCGCACGACATGTATAGACGTCAACGCCGGCGTCGCGGTTTTTTGCCAAGCTTTGCGAGCGCGCATGTTCAAAGCCACGTTACATAATTTGTATCATTAATTAACTATGACTGAGTATTGAACACTTCCTTAGTATCTCTGTGCAGCCCGCATAAGATTCTAGCAAGGCTTCTGAGATCTATCACCATAGAAGAAGCCCACTGGACCACTGTAAAAAGAAGGGCGCCGGCGATTCATTTCATGGTCGTTCACCGCGTGAGTTCTTCGGTTGAT